ATTGTTGTTTGGCGGGTCCGGGCTGGGGATTCGAACCCGCCACCTTAGGTGTACGTGGCTGGCGCCTTAGCCGGTTGAGCTATAGGCGTCGAACCTTAAGTGATTCTCTTGCCTCAGCCTCCCAAGTAGCTGGGACTACAGGCGCCTGCCACAATGCCTGGCTATTTTTTGGTTGTAGTTATCATTGTTGTTTGGCAGGCCCAGGCTGGATTTGAACCTGCCTGGTATATGTGGCTGGCGCCTTAGCTGCTTGAGCTACAGGCACCAAGCCCCAAATCTTATATTTCTAACACTCAGATTCTCCTCCAAACTAGATGTACCCTTGGGTAAGAATGGGGAAGCAAAGGGAACTAGCTTCATCCTTAGCCACAAGGAGCATGTAGATGAGAGGTAGAGAGGGATGCAGAAGCAGATGATAGCAATGCATGAGGTATTCTCTGATGAGGTCTAGGATCTTCAAGGATGAGGATAGTTAGTTGTATAAACAACAGTGCAGGAGAGGGCAGCCCATACTAGTCATAAAATGGGACCTGAGAATAAAATGGTCTTAATTCAAGCCTAAAATTTCTGGGCAAGCCTTGCAAGTTGTACTGAGTGTCAAGGTGAGATGGTCACTAAGGGACTGCATTTTGGGGCACAGAGGTAGTCCAGAGTTCCTTTTGGACACCCCTCCTCCTGGCACTCCAACAGATACTAACCCAGCCCCTCCCTCTCTCTAGGGAGCTTCATGTCCCCTGTCAGCAACCCTTCTTCTCTGAGTCATAGCAGACTTGGGCTGCAGGTGAAGGGCAGAGGAAGGATAGGCCAGGAGTGCTGTGTCAACATCTGTCCACCTGGTAGGGATTTGCAGGCCAGATCCTGGGCCACTCGGCAGGGAACCTGTTTACTCAGCTGCTCCTGTCTCCTTCTGCAGTAACCTGAGCCAGCCCTGTAGGTTTTCCATAGGAAGGCTGCCTGGACCTTCAGATTGTCTGAGTGTCTTGTTACTCTAGCATTATTCTTCTGTAACTTGAGAACTGGATTTATAGATGCTCTGTAGGCAGCTGCAGAAAGGGGAAAAGTGGAGGGGAGGGAACCAAGAATAGCTCCAGTTTATCGAGTGCCTAGCATGTCCCAGGTGCTGCTCAAGGCACTTGACCTGGCAGCAAGCCTTGCTGGTGGGGTGGGACAGAGATTGCTGGTTGCCATTTACTGTCCTTATTCCTTCTTCAGCTTTTGTCCAGGGAATCCACTCTCTACATTCGAGGGAAGGTGGGTCCCAGTTCCAGTCCTGGGTGAGTCAAGATGAAAATCTTGGCAGATTCAGGAAGTTTAGCTGGTTAGCCAAACTAGCAGCCATTCTCACTCCTTGCTTGTTTGGCTCCTATTCCAGGGCTGAAGAAGGCCAGATACTCTCCTCTCTTCATCTTGCTGTTGGGGGTGTTATGTGATCCAGTTTGGGCCAGTGTGTGTGTGTGGGTATGTATGTGGAGTGCTATGGGGGGGGGTGTGGGGCTTCTGGAAAAGCTTTTTCCTTCTGATGACAAGGGAGCCATGGGAGGAGCATTTGCTGGTGCTCCTTTGCCCCACTTTGTCCTGCTTTGAATGAGAACATGAAGTTGGGATCTGGTGTAGCCATCTGTGATCATGAGGCCACAGGTAGTCACCAAACCATCCCCCAGTCTACCACCTGCAAAACTTCTTGCTAAGGAAATGAGTGTCCTGCAGACTGAGCCACTGTTTCTTCAGTGTTCTCCTCCTTGGAGCTGAAAGTGTTCTGGATTTATCAGTGGCCATGTAACCTGTGCCAGGCAGTAGAAGTTTGGTTATGATTGTTGGGTGCCAGTGAGCTGGAAGCAGGGAAGTTCTGCTAGGGAAAAATTTTCCTCATTTTTTTTTTTTTTGGTTTTGTTTTGTATTTCTGATTTTTGTTGAAATTTTCCTCGTTCTTAAAAGGAGATATTCTGGAAGAAACAGTCACATTCCATCTGCACCCCATGCTTCACACTATGGCAGCCATCCTGCTGTTGAGATTCTCATTGCCCCAAGTGGGGAGTTTTTATTGAAGAGCCAGAGAATAGTAGAAAAAAAATTTTGATTTTAGTGTAAAAACCACAGTGCCTAGACAAAGAGGGAAGAATACATGATCTTCCCAGACTAGGCAGAGATCCTTGGAGCTTGAGAGTAGTACAGGAGAGTCAGAGAAGAAAGTAATTGGCTAAAAATGGAAACAGCCTTCCCCAAGCTGAAGGTTAGCTGTGAGGAGCAGAGGAGATGAATACTGAACCACAGAACCTCTGTGCCCCCTTGCCAGCTCAGTCTCAGAATCACCAAGGCATAAAGATAATAGTGTTGGCTATGTGAAGAATAGAGGTGGAGAAGGCCCAGTGAGGCCTTTATGGGCTTTAGTAGGAAAGCAGCCAAAACTCCTCTATGGCCCTGGAAGGGTGTGGAATTGGCCAATCAAGAGCCCTGCCCAGATGAGGGATGCCACCAGCAGATGCAGTGAGGACTAGATATCCAAAGTCAATGCAGGCCTCCTGTGGGTATCAGCATGCAGTGGTGACAAAGGATGAGAACCAGATGGAACAAAGAACATCAGTCTCATGAATAACAGAGAGATGTTGACTGAAGACCAACAGCCTTTTGGAGCACTAGGAGCCTCTGTAGGTCTTCTCCAACTTAGAAACCACCTTGAGGATGGGGGTAGTGTTGAATTCTATTGTTAATTGATGAGTTTCACTTTCAACCTAAAAGAATTAGGTGGACCCAGAACAAACTAAGTTGATGTTTTCTGTCTCAGATGGAATGGGGCTTGACTCAGACAGGAGTTGAATTGGATCTCTTCATATGCTGTGCTAGTTCCTGGGTGATTAATCCCCATAATAACTCTACTGAATAGATGCCCTTCTCCCTGGTTCTTAGAGAAAACTAATGGTCATAAAGGAAAAGTCACATCCCTATAGCCTGCCTGTTTTGTGAGAGACAGATTAGCATTTTTTTTTTTTTTTGAGACAGAGCCTCAAGCTGTCCCCCTGGGTAGAGTGCCGTGGCATTACAGCTCATAGCAACCTCCAACTCCTGGGCTCAAGCGAGTCTCCTGCCTCTGCCTCCCAAGTAGCTGGGACCACAGGAGCCCGCCACAACGCCCGGCTATTTTTTTTGGTTGCAGCCATCATTGTTGTTTGGCAGGTCCGGGCTGGGGATTCGAACCCGCCACCTTAGGTGTACGTGGCTGGCGCCTTAGCCGGTTGAGCTATAGGCGCCGAGCCGACAGATTAGCATTTAACACACAGCTGATTCCAAAGCTTATTATCTTTTCACCACTAAAAATACTAATATATAAATGATGTTAGGTAACTTTCAGTGAGCAAATCCTATGTGTCTTATACTGTGGCCAAGACTTTATCAATATTCTCTGGTTTAAATCTCATACAACCCAAGGATGGAGATGCCACTGTTTTACCCCTATAGGCAAGGACACTGAGGCACATAGAGGAGAAGGACTGGCCCATGCTTATGTAGGTGGCCTCAATGTGAACACATGTAGGCTGGTTTTACTCCCCACATTCTTTCTTTCTTTTCTTTCTTTCTTTTTTTTTTTTTTTGAGACAGAGTTTTACTTTGTTGCCCTCGGTAGAGTGCCGTAGCATCACAGCTCACAGCAACCTCCAACTCTTAGGCTTAAGCAATTCTCTTGCCTCAGCCTCCCGAGTAGCTGGGACTACAGGCACCCACCACTACGTAGGCCCAGCTATTTTTTGTTGCATTTCTCATTGCTGTTTTAGCTGGCCAGGGCTGGGTTTTATCCTGCCACCCTCAGTATATGGGGCCGGCGCCATACCCACTGAGCCACAGGCGCCACCCATACTCCACATTCTTGTCAACCATGGTAGTTCTCACACTGTGTGATGTGACCTAATGGACATTACCACACTACTGAGATTCTGAGGTCTCTCCAATTAGGATGCTGGGTATTGGGGGCAGTAGAGGATAGGGCTAGGAAGACCCTAAGGACTGTTGAAGAGGTGAGGGAAGGCGCTGGCCTCAGCTTACCTCCTCCTGCAGAGTCTCCATCTCAGCCACCAGATGCTGCTGTTCCTTTTCCTGACCAACCCAGAGAGAGGAGAAAGGCTTCATTTCTAGCCTTCTTGCCCCCAAATTACTCTTCTCCCACCCCCAGGAACACAACCAGGGTCTGGGTCATTGAAGAATGGGGCTGAGGGGATGGGTCCAGGGATACTGGATGGCTCCTACTGTCCCCTTGTCATGAGCGGGATGCCAGGTAGGGTTGAGAAAGTCTGGGACGAGCAGAACCTGGCATGAGGGAGGAAGCCAGGTGACTGCTCCCTTTCCCACTCTATAGTCAGGCTCTTTTGCTCTGACTCCAGGAAAGAGGGAAGGGAGAAGGCACTTTCTTCCCCTTGGGTTAGACTCACTGTCTGCCGGGCCTGGGCCAGAAGGTTGCGATTCTGTTCCTCCAGGCTCTTGGCCAAAGTCTTCAGGTCCTCCAGCTCCTCATCCACAGCCTTGGCAAACTGCAGTGCCTGCTGGGTACTGTATGGGTGGTGGGACCAGATGGACCACATGTGAAAGAGGAATGCAGAGTTGCACAGAAATAGATCTACTTAGATAGCAGCAACAGAGAAATCCCAGTTGCAGGGCAGGGGTAGAGACCCAGAGAGAAAATTGGGGAAAGAGACTTTGCATGGGGTACAGAGACCCAGTTTCAACCTAAACAACTGAGGAGGTGGTACAGTGATCTGGAGTGAGCAGCCATGACAGACAAGAAAAACAACAGAGTCCAGAGAAAGGAAAAGGCCAATGACATGGAGAATCAGAGAGAGGAGAAGAACAAAGAGAGGTATGAACCCTAGAGAGAAAGATAAATAGGCCAAAACAGAGAGGCTGAGCAACATGAACCAGAGAGAAACACAAAAGAGAAAGATAAGCCAGGTGTGGTGGCTCACACCTGTTAACTCCAGCACTTTAGGAGGCCAGAAGTTTGAGACCAGTTTGAGCAAGAGCAAGACTCCATCTCTACAAAAAATAGAAAAATTAGCCCCACCTTCCCCCCTACCCCTACAGAAAAATAAATAATAAATTAAAAAAATAAAAGAAAGAAAAATTAGATACTTTTGTGGTGGGGGCACCTCTAGTCCCAGCTACTTGGGAGGCAGAAGCAGGAGGACTGCTTGAGCCCAGGAGTTTGAGGCTGCAATAAGCTATGATGATGCCTTTGCATTCTATCCCAGGAAACAGAATGAGATCCTATCTCAAAGAAAAAAAAAAAAAAGGAGAGAGAGAGAAGACAAAAAAGGGGAAGGACAGGTGCAGAGTCAAAGACAGAGCAGGAGATGCAGAAAGCAAGTGGAAAAGAGAGGCTGGGGCTGCAGAAAGGAGGAAGGAGGCAGGGTTGCCCAGAATGGTCAGTGCAGGGCCCTGCCCACCTGCGAAGCTGTTTGCGCAGGGCCAGTATCTCCTCCCCAAGGCGTGCTGAACCCTCTTCTGCTGTTTCCACGCTTCGTTGGAGTTTGGCATTCTCCCCTGCCAAACGTCGGTTGCTGAGCTCCAGGTCCTCCAGGCTGCTCAACAGGTCAGCTGTGGCAGGCCTGGGGATAGAGAAGGGGCCAGGGTCACTGTCCACAGCCCCTACCTCATTTTCCCAGGTCAGGGCAAGTGCTAGTGGTGGGGAAATATAGCTCTTCTGGAGAAAGAGAAATAGGAGAAAGACTCTTTGGTTTTCCCTGAACTGTTAGCAGACAGCTCACCCACTTCTTGGAAGGACCCCAATCCCTACCCAGGCTTCAGCAGGCAGGAAGGCAGAGGTTGGGACTGGAGGGGAGGGGAGGGGTCTTAGGATAGATACAGCTCAGGTCTGGGATCTTCGCCTCCGAAGCTCTCCAGGTTGCCTGGCTCCTCAGCTTCTGGGCATCCTAGAGGGAGACAGACAAGAGAGTGATGGGCCCCCTGGTGACCTTAAATGTTGAAGTGTCCTAGGCCTATGGGCTTGGTCCTCCTCTGGCCTTTACCTTCACCTTTGTGGTGATCTCATGGGCTCCCAGGGCTGCAATTATACCCATTGCTTATCTCTACTTTGAGCTTAGGCTGGATCTCCCTGATAACCTAACCTCCACATTCTTTTTTTTTTTTTTTTTAGACAGTTTCACTATGTCACCCTCAGTAGAATGCTGT